CTGGTTCAAATGGCACAGATAGTGGCGACCCTCTGAAGAAGGCAGGAAGAGATGCCCAGGTCAGGGAAGGGATGAGACCCCGTAGGGAAAGGACTCCTCGCAGCCAAGGAGTTTATTAGAAACAAAGAACGAGGAGCTGGCAAGGGCCTCAGAGATTGCCTGGGTCGGGCCAGGAAGCTGGCTGAGGAGCTCAGGAGCAAGAGACCAAAACCAGCCGAGAAGGAGACAGAAGGGAAGGAAGGGGTTGAACAGTGAACAGAGAGACAAAGAGCAGGCAGCTCCAAAGAGCCAAGAATGCAAATCATTTGCAGACGCCGGTGAGACTCTCCACCGGGGCTCCTGCCGCTGGCGCCCTGGGCACAGGCACATCTGCACGTCACGCCGAGTATGAGCTGCGAGTGTGAGTGTCCCCGCTGAGTCACCCTGTGTGTGTAACGACTGTGTCAGCTGTGAGTCACCGAGTGTGTGTCAGAGCCGGGTGGGGAGCCGTGTGTGTTCCAGTGCACAAGCGCGCGACGGCCACCTGTGCCCCAGTGACGGCGGAATGTGAATGGGAGCGAGAGAGCGCGCGCTCCCGGGGGAGGTGCGTTTAAAGGGCACCACGCTTCGTGCACGCCGTACATCACACCCCACGTTTCTGAACGCGTTCCAGGGACAGCCATCTGCGCCCCCTTCCTGCCCAGACCTCCCCGCGGAGCGGCAGTGCTAAATTCTTCAAGCTCACGGGGCCGCTGTCAGAGTCGGAGATGGCCGCAGTCTTGGAATCCTAAATTTCCACCCCTTCATTTTGCAGAGGGAGGAACTGTGGCAGAAAAAGCGGATACCGTGGACCCAGGGCCATGGAGCTGGCCCGCAGCAAAGCCAGGTGCGGCCCGGGGTGTCCTAGCTTCCCTGCCTGGGACTCGATCCACCAGCCACCAGCGGAGGGCGGGTCCTTTTTCCTTTTTCAGCAGATATGCGATGACATCATGTCTTTTAACTAAAAAGCACCTAAGTCCGCCCACAGAATGAAACACTGATGTCACATCCTGATGGCTGGAGTCGATGACTAACTCCAAAGGCAAAGTCGGGGCACCTCTAGCCGGACGGCCACAGACCAAGAGCCATTTGACCTCTTTCCCTAGAGCCTCACTGGGGCACTGCCCCCGCAGGCCGGGGGGGCCCACCGAGAGACCTGTGCTTGGGTCTCCAGGTGCAGAACCGGCCGGGCCCTTGGGCAGCCTGGCTGATTTGTGACTCAGAGGTTGCCCTGAGACATCTGTGGCTGTCCAACGCAGGACTCCCCATCTCCTTCCTGCCACCTTTCTGAAGGCCATTTCACGGCTCAGTTTCACCTGCCCCGCGGAAATGAAAAAATAAATAAATTAGGGATTTCAGCAGTTGTGAGAAAGGTAAAGAGCCAGAACCTATTAACCATTTGGGGTTCGGGGATTATGCCTGAGTTCCATTCCATTCTTTCTCTGACGGCTCTGAGACGACCCAGACTTCAAAGGCATCACTTCAGCCACTGGATTTGTTGTTCTTATTTCATATTAATTAAGTAGTTACTATATGCACAGCACTGTGGAGCCCACTCAGTAGGCACAGACACCACCCTGCATCTCTGGAGAGCAGAGATATATTATCTCACTTATGGGGACTTCAAAGCCTTTCACTCCAGTAACACCTTGTCACTGGCCAGGAGGCGGCCGAGATGGTCAGGCACTCGGGCAGGGAGAACAGGAGGGAGAGAGGAATCACTGCTCCAGGTCAGATTTGAAGTGAGGTGGGTCTTACCTCTGGGTCTAGGCTCTACATTCATGAAATGATGTTTTCAGAACAGGGCTCTGCTGAAAACATGCCCCAGGGAAGGGAGTTAGGAGGATGTCTCCTTCTGTGGCAGACAGACAGACAGACAGGGTAAACGTCGATATTATA